CAAGTGGGACACAATCGTGAAGTGGAACGAAATTTATTGGATAATTTAAACTTTTTTAACAAATAAAAAACTGAAAAGTGGGGCGTGCAATATTATTCGGCCCCTTTACTTTCAGTTCAGCAAACTCAGTCCAGAAGTTCAGTGAGGATCTTTGAATGATCCAATGTTGTCCTAAATGACTGATGATGATAAATAGAATGCACCTGTGTGTAATCAAGTCTCCGTATAAATGCACCTGCTCTTTGATAGTCTCAGGGTTCTGTTTAAAGCGCACCGAGAACCATGAAGACAAAGGAACACACCAGGCAGGTCCGAGATACTGTTGTGGAGAAGTTTAAAGCCGGATTTGGATACAAAAAGATTTCCCAAGCTTTAAACATCTCAAGGAGCACTGTGCAAGCAATTATATTGAAATGGAAGGAGTATCAGACCACTGCAAATCTACCAAGACCCGGCCGTCCCTCCAAACTTTCATCTCAAACAAGGAGAAGACTGATCAGAGATGCAGCCAAGAGGCCCATGATCACTCTGGATGAACTGCAGATAACTACATCTGAGGTGGGAGAGTCTGTCCATAGGACAACAATCAGTCGTGCACTGCACAAATCTGGCCTTTATGGAAGAGTGGCAAGAAGAAAGACATTTCTCAAAGATATCCATAAAAAGTCTCGTTTAAAGTTTGCCACAAGTCACCTGGGAGACACACCAAACATGTGGAAGAAGGTGCTCTGGTCAGATGTAACCAAAATAGAACTTTTTGGCCACAATTCAAAACGATATGTTTGGCGTAAAAGCAACACAGCTCATCACCCTGAACACACCATCCCCACTGTCAAACATGGTGGTGGCAGCATCATGCTTTGGGCCTGCTTTTCTTCAGCAGGGACAGGGAAAATGGCTAAAATTGATGGGAAGATGGATGGAGCCAAATACAGGACCATTCTGGAAGAAAACCTGTTGGAGTCTGCAAAAGACCTGAGACTGGGACGGAGATTTATCTTCCAACAGGACAATGATCCAAAACATAAAGCCAAATCTACAATGGAATGGTTCACAAATAGACGTATCCAGGTGTTAGAATGGCCAAGTCAAAGTCCAGACCTGAATCCAATCGAGAATCTGTGGAAAGAGCTGAAGACTGCCGTTCACAAACGCTCTCCATCCAATCTCACTGAGCTCGAGCTGTTTTGCAAGGAAGAATGGGAAAGAATTCCAGTCTCTGGATGTGCAAAACTGATAGAGACATACCCCAAGCGACTTGCAGCTGTAATTGCAGCAAAAGGTGGCGCTACAAAGTATTAGCGCAAGGGGGCCGAATAATATTGCACGCCCCACTTTTCAGTTTTGTTTTTGTTAAAAAAGTTTAAATTATCCAATAAATTTTGTTCCACTTCACGATTGTGTCCCACTTGTTGTTGATTCTTGACAAAAAAATAAATTTTTATATCTTTATGTTTGAAGCCTGAAATGTGGCGAAATGTTGAAAGGTTCAAGGGGGCCGAATACTTTCGCAAGGCACTGTATATAACTATATTTTATCATTTTGGTTGTAAATGAATGTGTAAGAAATATTAATTCCATAAATGTGTTCATAAGAAGATGTTTCTTGTCCCTCTAAAGGTTTTTTGGCAGTGTTGTTAGCTTCAATGCTAGTTTTATTTTCTTATCCTTATATTGTTTTATTCTACAGAAAATAATGCATTTATTTTAGTCTAAACAACAGACTAACTAGCGTTACTGAACTAGTGAGTAAAAGTAATGTGTCAAATGTACAAATATAAGATTGAGGCCCACAAGGACAGGGTCTGCTACGTCTAACAACCGAGGATGAGTGCAGCACGGAGATGAACTTCATATTGCTCAGGGGCAGTAACAGCGCCAACTATGAATAATCTGGAGGGTTGGGGCTGGTATCAACACATTAGCCACATTGATTTGGGGCAAAGGCTTCATAAAATGTAACTGCTAAGAATGTAAATGTTGGTTTTAAAATAACATGGTAAGCTGTAAAACTAGCATTGAAGCTAGTGTTAACTAAACACTGCCTAAAAAAACGTTTCTAGAGAGGGACAAGAAACATCTTATGAACACATTTTATGGAATTAATATTTTGTACACATTTATTTACGACCAAAATCGCACAAAAATCGCACAAAAATCCATCAGGTCCCGGTGCCCGACCACTCTGTAGGGACCCGATTGCCTTCAATATTTCAGCTACTGCTATTGATCTCTCCAGTAGCTCTTGTTGCTCTCCATTAACTTTCGGAATGTTTAATTGGCTTAGAAATGAATCTATATCAGCTTTTGTACATGTAGTCTGGCTGGTGTAAAGACCTTCATAGAATTTCTTAAAATTTGTATTAATCTCCTTTGGGTCCGTTGTTGTTTGAAAGAGTGTTAAATTCAGATAGAAGCAACAGCTTTTGTTTGTACAAATCAAGATTTGCTATACGTTCAGTGAGTTCCCTGAGCCGCTCTAACCGCTTCTTTTTTCTTTGAGCCACAAACGAGATAATTTGGCCACGCAAATATGCCTTAAGAGACTCCCACAATAAAGATTTAGAGATGTCTGGAGTATCATTAAGCTCAAGATAAAAGTCAATTTGAGACTCAATGTATTTACAGAATTCCTCATCCGACAATAGAGTTGAATCAAACCTCCATGTTCGCTGCAAACGACACGCGTTGGGAAGGTTAGATATCTATTTTTACAGGCGCATGATCAGAAATCACAATTGAGTGATATTTACATGTGGTAACTATGGGGATAAGGCCCTTAGCCAATAAAAAAAAAATATAAACAATCCATCCTCGTGTAAGAATGGTGCACTGAGGAGAAAAAGGAATAATATTTGGCAAAGGGTTCGGTCACACGCAATGGATCACAAATACCATAGTTTTGAAGAAAGGACTTAATAGTTGAGGCTGATTTGGAAATTTCTGCAGTTTGGGGTGTCTTGGAACGATCAAGAGCTGGGTCGAGTACCACATTAAAATCCCCTCCCATTATTAAATAGCATGCATTCAAGTCAGGTAATAGACCAATACGTTTCTTTAAAAAAATTGGGTTATCCCAGTTGGGTGCATAGACATTTAGTAAAATGACTGGGTTATTGTGTTACTTTCCTGTGATCATGACAAAACGACCATTGACATACCTTTGAACAAAGAAATGGACAGTTCTTCTTGACAAGTATGGCAACCCCTCTAGCCCTGGAGTCAAAGCCTGAATGAAAAACCTGCGAAAGCTGTGTGAAAGTTTGTTACAATCCGTACAGCGGAGGTGCGACTTCTGTAAAAACACAATGTGTGGTTTAAAAGTTTGAAGATGGGCAAATATCCTTTTGCGATTTACAAAATTATTAAGTCCTTTTTACGTTCCATAAGATAAATGTTGTAGAGCAGGGCCCACCTGTCACCAAACTAGAGGGACCTGCCATACTTATGGTGAGGAGGGACCGTCATGGTGGGAGCACAGAGCATTGGTAAGTGTAAGGGATTGCAGCCATATACAACAGGAAAAAACAAAACAAAGAACCCCCCGCCCCCCCCCCCGAGAAAAACAAGTAGATTCTTCTCATCCCACTCCAGAGTAGACAACCTCAACTCACCCCCCAAAGAGCTTGAATGTAACATGTAAACACAACAACAACGCTACTCTCAGCAGGGAACAAGCTGAAGTTACAAAAAAAAAACTATCTGACACAATTTTGTAAAAAAAAAACAAAGATTGCCATCGTCCAGGCTTTCTACTCTTTATAAAGAGTGAATGTGAATTATGGTAAAACAGAACAGTAACCAATTGTCATTATGAACAATGAAGTACTCATATAAATGCTACAGGGATATTAAAGGAGCAATATGTAATATTTGCATGTCAAGTCATCATTAAATGACCCGAATATTTCAAAAGGCATTAATAAATCATGTTCTTTTCAAACACATCTTTAACTGATAACAGTAGTTCATCCGAGATATTTGAATATCAAAATTAGTTTTACGACCCGTAAAAGTTGTTATTGTTTTGATTTTGATGTCCTACCCTCCGCCGTTTCGCCAATCAGGAAGTGTCATGTAAGTCCGTGATCGAGTTGCCAGAACTCCGCGCGTCTCATTAATCTCAGTGGTAAAATAACATGTGGCGCAGAACTAAAAAAGGTCTTGTTATGACTCTCAAATCATTAATGACAAAACAAAGACTAAAACGAGGATTTATATCGGGATGCCTTTGAACAATTGATCAGCTGATAAAAGTTTACGTGTGATGCAGAATTTGCTAGTTTGAGTCCGTTCTTCACAGTATTTTTAACTGTGTGAATCGGTGGTCTAGTGGTTAAAACTGTGCGCTAATGATGCAGGAATCCGGGCTATGTCTTTTTGTATTTATTGCATGTTATCACATTCTATGACAGATTGCTCTAAAAACGGTAAAAGACGAAGGTCAAGACGTTTTTTTGCAGATTATAGATTAATTGTAAAAATAATCATTTAAGACCACATGTACCCCAATTAAAATAATGTTAGTTTCTTTTTGATGTGGGACTTTTACATGTTTGTCTAAAAAATAGGGAATAAATAAAATTGAAAGGTGATATCCTCTTGAGCAAACCCTGATGTTGATACGCTGAAGAAATACGTTCCAACATCCATTCTTCCCACTCCTATTTTTGACATCAATTGCTTATGTATTTTGCATAAACTATGTATAATTACATTGCTTTTATTTTGTTTTTGTTTTTTATCTCAAATGTCCAAATAATAATAATAAAAAACCATGAATCAAAACATTCATTCAGCATTAGCACGGCTGTCATGGCAATGTGAATGGAGACGGACAAACAACTGATAAAATAATTCCCTGTGTTTGCTGCTGGATTTGGTGTGAATCTGGCAACCTGAGTCAGGGAGAGTGGGAGAGGACTACAAAATATTGACTGTGACTGCAGTACCACTTTTGGCCAGATTTTTACATATTGTTCCTTTAAGTCTTCAGATATTCAGCTATCATTTCGTCTCTCATTCTTCAGAAGATGACTCACAGTGTAGACCTTAGTAGCGTCTGGATCGGTGAAGATCTTTTCCCCCAAAGGCGAGGAGATCCTCAGCTTCGCTGGGTACAGCATGCCGTATCTCACGTCTTGACATCCGCAGAGCATCTCTTTCTCGTCCTTGAAAGACCCCCTCCTCTTCGCTACTGAAGACGGCAGGTCCGGAAAAATGAATATCTTGTCACCGTTGTAGAGCAGGGGGCCATTCCTGCGACGAATGGCCCCCTGCTCTACAACGGTGACAAGATCCTCATTATTCCTTACGAAGAACCTCCAGTTTTTCTTGATAGTAGTGAAACGTGACGATAAACGGCCTGGGTCCCTGACCTCTCACAGGAGCTGGTTGATGTGGGGGCTGCATCCAAGTGTAAAAGTTCCTTAAGTAGCCTAGCCACGGAAGCAACAGGGAGCGTTCTTGTCTCAAACTGTTCTTTTATCCTGATTATGCGGATGTTGCAACGCCTTTGTCTCCCCTCCAGGTCCTCCGTTTTATCTACCAAGGCTGTTACAGTTTCTTTAAGGCAGCGAACTTCTTCCTCCACATCCACAACCCTTTCAGAGTGTGTGTTAGTAGCATAGACTGTATATATTAACGGACAGAGTCACGCCTATCTCCGCCGTTCTAACTAATGGGCCAAAAAATGTGCTCTACTGGAGCAATCCAAAATGGCCGCGAGTGGTCCTGCCCACAAGAAAATTGTGAAAAAACGCATCTGCGCATGCATCAGCCGGCGCAACTCCATTCATTTGAACGAGAGACTTCAAAAATTCACAGCAAGTAAACTAGAGTGGACCAAAAAAAATCACCCCCCTCAGCATTGACACACATGTGGAACGGAACTTTGGGCCAAGAGCCAACTTTTGGTCCATCCTGTAAAGACGTTTTTGAGGGGTCTGCCAATGCTATATGTTAGCATTGGGTCCACCCCCATCGGCCCGGGGTGGTATTGCAAGCATGTCACATCATTTTGGCCACTTTTGAGCTGGGACCCTCCCCCACTGGTTAGTAGCAGCTTCCAAGCTAGTTAGCCGAGCCTGGTGGTCAGAGAAGCTAGCAGCTAGCAAGTCAATCTTAGCACACAGTTCTGTACGGACACCTTCAAGCTTTTCCATGAAGTGATTATCGAGGGAGTCGATTGTGTCATACACTTGTTGGCACTTGGCCTCCACATTTTTATCAAGCGTAGTAATCTTTGCCAACACATTCTTTTCCGAGCTAGCTATAGCAGCCATTAGCTTATCTGTGTCCAGTGATGCAGCGTTGGTGGCAGCAGCTGTAGCAGATTCCGACTTTTTGGCACTTCTGGATCCAGACATTGCAAAAGTGATGTTTCACGCCGTCCCAGCAGTTAAAGTGAGGTATCAGACGATGGTAGGTAACATTTACATTTCAGATAGTCACACATTTTTAAAGAAAATTGGCGATAGCCTGTAGAGCAACGATGATACACGTCTCTACATGCTGCTGCTCACGAGAGCGCCCCCCCTTTGTTTGAAAACCTAACACTTTCAATCACCTATCCTGGATGGAGCAAACAAAAAGCGGTGTTATTTATAGTTTTATACCAACCTCCTGGTCCTTACAGTGAGTTCCTAACAGAATTCTCTGACTTCATTTCAAACCTAGTTCTGGAATGGGAAAACAGTTATTACTGGAGACTTCAATATACATGTGGACGACAGCACTGACAGCTTAAACACGAGGTGTCCAGAAAGGGCCGCTGTGGCTGCAGGTTTTCTATCAGACCCAGCAGGAGCAGAGCAGACTCAACCCATTTCCTCAAGTAAGCTCAGTCTTAAAGAAGCTATACCCAATTTTTTTTCTAAGTAGTTCATAAAAATGCTTTTTACTACATACAAGTTGTATCATAATACATAATTTAATTGAAAACTTGAGGTCATTGATTCCACTGTGTATGAAATTCAGGCAGTGAAAAGTGCTGAGTAGAGTCTGAGCGGGCCGCTCGTTCTCCTCCGCTCACAGAACGAGCAGCGACCAGCCTGCGTCCTCTAGCCTCTACAGCACTGCTTAACACCAGGGCTTCGACTTCAAAATTCAAATATAATTCTAAAATAAAAAATATATACATATTTGAACAAATATTAGACAACCCTTATAATTAGAAATGTATTTAATGACTGCAAATAAAATAGTTAGCTCCCAAAGGTTTCACCGGGACGTGCTAGGCAGGTAACAGCTAAGCTAGCTAGCTGTTTCATGGTAACTTCCGGGTTTTTCGCGATCGCTTTTTGTCATTTTAAAACAGTATTTTTGTCATGAAAACGTTTACAGCAAATTCTGAAATCGTCCGTGCATGTGTGTTAAGGATGTACATGTATACTGTATTGTCCGATTGACGTTTAATGGTGTTGATTGATTGATATGTAGTTGTTTATTGAGCGTGGCTAGCTCCGCTAGCTTCTCTACACAGACAAGTGTGCAGAAAAACTGCACAATGTAGTGACAGGCGCTGATAGCTTGTTGTACTTGCAAAGTAATGGCAGTATTTTACACACCTGAATTACAAACAGAGATTGCATTGGGGCTGCGGTCATTATTGGTTTGAGAGTTCTGTTATCAAGAAAATGATCGGAAGAATTGCATTCAAGTCAATGGAGTACTGCTGCTGTGAGGAGCTGTATAATAAATTATAATTAAATATTAGAATATATTCTAATGTTTAAATTAATACATCCGGACGCGAAACTAATGGTATTCTTTTACTTATATATTGTGTTAGCAGTGCATTGCTTTAGTGCCATTTCATCAGTGATTGTTGCACAGCTTACAAGTTGCGCTAATGCTAATGTTAGCATACGTATCAGATCGCAAATAAAACTAGGTGGCTCCGTGGGATGAGAGCGTAGGGGAAATGAGAAGCCATTGAGCGAGTTGGGGGGCGGTGCTAAACATTCAAACATTGCAGAAACGGGTATAGCGCCTTTAACCTGAATATTTGAAGAAATGGGAGGAGTCTGCTCTGCTCCGACTGGGTCTGATGCAGCCACAGCGGCCCTTTCTGAACTGGCTTGGACACCTTTGGCTTTAACAAAGCTTTTAGCGCCGTACTAGATGGTGTTGGTTTTACTCAGAATGTTGCGGAAACTACTCACATTCATAACCACACTTTGGACCTTGTCCTGACCTACGGTAGTAAGGTTTCCAATATTGACGTCCTGCGTCAAAGCTCGTCGCTGTCTGATCATTTCTTGATCACGTTTGATCTCGCTTTGGAGGACTTTCCTGCGCTGCAAGATAAAACCATAATCAAAAGAACCTCAGATCAGATTCAGATTCATTTTATTAGCCATGTGCAGTATACAAACTACATTGGAATACATTTGCAAAGAAAGGTACTCTGTGTGCACCGACAGAATAAAGAACACGATACAATGTAATATAAAATACACATACACTGAATATAAAAGAATAAAAAAAACAGCTGACACTGTGGCACCGATCAACAAAACGATACAAGGGGTAAAAGCAGGAATTAAAGTGCTCTGTTTAGGCACCTAACAGCTTGTGGAAAGAAGCTGTTAGCATAGCGAGATGTCTTGCATCTCAGCGACCGATATCTTCTGCCAGAGGGAAGAAGCTGGAACATGGCTTTCCCAGGGTGGCCAGAAGAGTCATTAACAATCCTAAGAGCTCTGTTTAAAAGTCTGGATTTATAAAGAACCTCCAGAACAGGAAGCTCACAGCCCACGGTCCTCTTTGCAGAGCGGAGCACCTTGTTTATAGCTCTCTTTTCTTTATCTGTGATGTTACCAAACCACACAGACACAGAACCAATAAGTAAACTCTCAGTGGTGCAACGATAAAAGTTAAGCAGAATCTTAGAGTTAGTGGTAAATTCTCTAAGTTTCCGCAAAAAGAAGAGCCGCTGACGTGCTTTCTTAACGACCCGGTTAGTATTTTTGTCCCATTTCAGGTCGTTTGACAGAGTTAAACCCAGGAACTTGCACTCCTCTACGATCTGCACCTGGGAGTTGTCAATAACTACAGGAGTGTGAGAACTGCTATGACTGAAGTCAAAGACAAGTTCACATGTTTTTGCAGTGTTCAGCTGGAGATTGTTTACTTCACTCCACTGAAAAACATGTTCGATCTCTGCTCTATAAGAGGATTCATCATTGTCACTGATGAGACCGATGATGGTGGTGTCATCAGCATATTTGATGATCATGTTTGAGTCAGAGGAGGACACACAATCGTGAGTGTACAAAGTAAAAAGCAAAGGACTCAGAATACATCCCTGAGGAGAACCAGTGCTCACAGAAACAACATCAGAAAGCAGTGATGGGAATAACGGCGTTACTAGTAACGGCGTTACTAACGCCGTTACTTTTTTCAGTAACGAGTAATCTAACTAATTACTTTGACAGTAACTATAACGCCGTTATCATTTCCGACATCCCGTTACTGCGCGTTACTCAAGACGCACAATGAACGTGTTGTCATGAGAGAAGGGAGGATGAGAAAACCTCTCAGCAATTATTGGCTGATGTAAATCATATTTCCTTTACAATCTACATGTCTACAGTTGAGAGGATGGCTCATAAATTGTGTTTTTGAAACAAATATGGGTCTTAATCGCGCTCAACCACGGCTTGTATCACCGTGAGGTCAGCCACAGAGTAGCGCATGTGAGCGCAGAAGTCGGCTGCATACAATTCCATCGATAAGCTCCTTGCTCTTCCTGGTTTATCTGCTAAGGACAGCAACAGGTTTGGCTAACATACATATAACACATTTTTACATAATCTAAAATGCACATAGGGTAATTTTTCAATGACTATAGGAATGATAAGAAAGAGAGGTGAAGTGTAAGACGGTTGATTTTGGAAATTGGATGCAGCCGGCTGCAGCAAAACAGAGGAGTTTATGGAGGACACACGCGTTTTGTTTTACTTTTTAAAACTCATTGGACTCATTTCCAAATGGAGGATTACATATCTACGCTCAAACCATTCACTGGATTTAAACAAGGAACTGGTCTGAACTGAAGTGGACTGTGCAGGTCATTTATAAGGTATAGCTATAAGCAGGGCTGGACTGGGACAAAAAAACGGCCCGGGCATTTTTTCCTTTTTAGCGGCCCAGGCAACTCAAAAGGTTCAAGGAGCCATATTTGACAAAAAAAAAAAAAACAGTGTTGTATAAGACTTATATGAAGGTAACAGGGGCTGAAGCTGTATTAGCTACATTAGCTACATTAGCTATATTAGACTAATATCTAAATGACAAAGTAAAGGCTAAACACATAAAAACCATTCATGATTATCAAATGTGTATTTTCATTGCAGCGTGTCCTGGAGAGAATGACGCACCACGTGACAACTCTGCTTTAAGTTTAACCTTCTTGCAATTGTACAAATACAGTAAATAAATCAGTTTTTTGGCTCCGAGTTCACCTGCATCTCTGTCTGTTCATATCCATCACAGGCTGAAGTTTGCTGGAGCTGAATGTCCTTAATGGCCTTTTCTTTCACCGTCTTTGCGAAGGTTTTGAAGTCTGAAAATAGGTGCTTGACTTCATGATGAATGAATCTTTCAGTGAACGTGTTTAAAGCTTCATTCTTCCTCCTGTTGCAACAAAACTTTTCATTACATCGCAAACATAAAGCAGTCCTTCCTCATTGACTGAAAGCAAATGTTCATTCTCATTCTTAGTCCAGTCTTATCGACTCTCTTTATCTTTGGGATCCATGCGTACACACAGTTAAAATTGAATATTACCCATACAAGTTTTTGCAGCATTGAAAAACGTTAAGAATGTTTTTCCTCCTACAGAAACCACATTCAAACTACAAATAAAATATAGCCTCACACTCCATTTTCAGACATTTTTGAAAAGGCTCCAGGAGCCACTTTAGGGGCACTAAAGGTTGCCGACCCCTGGTTTATACAGTATGTGGAAGCAAATACTGTAGAGGATCAGGATCTTTCCAGTTTCAACAATAAAATAAAGTACAATAGTCTACATTAAACAGAGTAATAAACATGTCTCAGAGTGAGGGAGGTGGACACAGACAATATTGTTTGTTACAGGGATGAGAATTGGTAAAAAATTCTGAAATGCATAATGTCAGCCATTATTGGCTCTAAATCTGTTTAATTTGTTCACACCATTTTACTTTTGGGCTCAAACATGAACTTTTAATGCAATGGAAAATTTAGGTACCCGAGCTTTAATTTAGAGGAGAGGGGAGACGCGGACTGTTTCCTGCAGCGGTGTATTTATTGGGTGCACAAATTACGCAAAGACATGCATGGTCCTGTGCGCGTTTATGGTCTTGGGTACATGGTCACGTTGCGGCTACGCGCTCACCGTGTTGTGTTGTGAGCGGTTCCTGCGTCCAGCTCAGAGCCGCTGGATGCGGGAACACTGCGGCCGCTGAGGTGGTGGAATCCCGTTCGAGTACATACAGCAGGTGCCCCGCGGACACGCGCGCTCCCCTCAAACATTTCTCAACGGATTTACACTTTTCACAAACATGTTTTTTGTATGAGGCAGACAGACCGGCCCAAGTATGGGCATCGGCCCTTCGGGCATTGCCCGGTACGCCCGATGGCCAGTCCAGCCCTGGCTATAAGGTAAGACCCATAACTCATAGTTTTGCGTTTTGTATGAACACACAATGCGGGCATAAAACATATTTTGCTGTAGCCAAACAAATTTTCCACTTGATTTATATGATGTATATGTTCATCTGATTGGACTGAAGTCAGTGCTTCACCAGCCTCACCGCTCGTCACCGGTGTTTCCACATTCACAGTGGCGGGCTTTACAGCACAGTGAGAGATGAAGAGTGAACAGGACTTCAGCAGCAAAACAGCCTTTTCTAGATGGAAATATTGGCACTGTTAAAGGTAAAAATGCGCACGTCGGGTGCACATTATGTTCCAGAACAAAACGAAAAAGTAACGCAATAGTTACTTTTACTGGTAACTAGTTACTTTTATAGTGGAGTAACTCCGTTAGTAACTCAGTTACTTTTTGGGAGAAGTAACTAGTAACTATAACTAATTACTTTTTCAAAGTAACGTGCCCAACACTGTCAGAAAGACAGTCATTGATTTTTACTCTCTGAGATCTGTCAGTTAAAAAGCTAAAAATCCATTTACACATGGCAACACTTAAACCGAGAGACAAGAGTTTTTCAATCAGTTTACCTGGGACAAGACAATTAAAAGCAGAGCTATAATCAATGAAAAGCATTCTCGCGACAGATTTACTAGTGTCCAAATGAGTGTAGACAGAGTTCAGAGCAAAGGAGATGGCATCCTCCACACTCCTGTTCTGTCTGTAAGCAAACTGGAGCGGGTCAACACTCACAGGGATCTGGCTCTTAATGAAGTCCAGCACGAGCCGCTCAAAAGTCTTCATAAGAACAGACGTGAGAGCTACAGGGCGGTAGTCATTGAGACATGTCACTGGAGACTTCTTAGGAACTGGAATAATGGTGGACCTTTTAAAGCTCACCGGCACCGTACAGCTCCTGAGTGACAAGTTAAAGATGTCCGTTAAAACAGGGGCAAGTTGCTCGGAGCACAGTTTCAGGACACGAGGAGGAATGCAGTCCTGTCCTGCGGCTTTCCGAGCTGTGGTCCTGGACAAGACCTGCCGTACTTCATCCTGAGTCACTGTGAAGGCACCCTGACATTCGGGGAAGACAAAAGGCAGGGGATCAGCAGATTCAAAGCGGCAGTAAAAGTCGTTGAGCTCATTTGGCAGAGTTTGGCCAGCAGCAATTTTCCCTGCACTTGGTTTCCAGGACGTGATAAGACTGATCCCCTTCCACATGCGTCGAGGGTCCTCTTCGTGTTGCACGTGTAAAGAAGAGGCAGCATCTGACGATTCACAGTGGTTTTATTGTCCTTTAGCACGACAGGCAACTGCAGGTTCACAATCATGTTCTCTCTGAAACTCTCCTCACTTTCTCTCTCTCGTGAGGCCCTCACCTTAACTCAAAAACAGGCGAACGCCACCTGGTGGCGCCAGTATGCTATCTTAATGTAAACTAACATTAAATACTGTGCCTTCATATAGTCTCAATAAGACATTAAAAATAAAAATAAAGTAAAACATGAAATATTACAGGGGTGTCCGAATTTAACCAGTAAAATATCCTTATTCCCACACTCTCCCCTCAAAAATGTAATGCCGACCCGACATTATAAAACCTCTAAAATACACACCAAAAGACAGTCCACATCTGGTAAATATGCATGACATGTCAGCAGGATACTAATATGCTGGAGTCAGGTGAACATAAGAGTCCATAAAGATGCATAACTGGTTACAGTCCACAGTACAACATGTATCTCCGTTCCATGCCATACGTCCGCAGAAGAAGTCTTTGTGCACTATAACATTCCCCTGCATCGTTCACAATAGTGAGTATCTGCATCTTCCCTGAGAGTAAGGTACTCAACACAGTCATAGCCTACTATTATCCCTTTACCAATATGTGGTGCAGTTGCCAAATTAACACACTGAAATCTATTCATATTATGTAAAGTGTTCAATCTACAACTAGTATTTATGTAACGTATGAGCCAAATCAAAAACTGCTCATATTTAACAATTCAGACTTTAAACATAAAACTTGAGTGACTTCACTTCTTTCCTTTTGCTAAACACTTGAAGTGCTAGGCACACCTAATTTATCATAGGTAAATATCACTCTTTTCTTTCTAAGTCTGAAAGGATACTGTTTAGCTGGGGTGTCAACCGGATTCTCTTGGTCACTGGAGCTGGACTCAGACAACACATCATCCTGACCGTCGACTTTCTCAGCCCGGTCCTCTGGCGCCTCGGCTTCTGGTGCCACATGTGCCATTGTGTCGTCGTCTGTGTCGTGCTCCTCACCCTCCTGAGTCATGTCATTGTCTGGGTGGAACTCAGGTGCTTCGATTCTCAGATGATTGTCCTCTTCAGTGCTATTTCCCGTCCGCAGCCCGATTATGGCATGCCAGCCATCTTCATCCTCATCGGCTGTGCTGTTCTGTGTGTCCATGTGACTTTGTCTTTTTGTGTCTCTTTTCTTCTTCTTTGTCTCTTTATCAGGAGGCACGGTCATTTCAACAGGGAGGAAGTCACATGGCAGCAGCAAATTCCTGTGCAGTATACGTGTGCGTCCTTTGCCATTTTCCGGTTTTATCTCATACACTGGGCTGTCTTGATGTTTCCTCTGAGTTACAACATAAACACGATCTTCCCAGAAAGATCTAAGTTTTCCTGGCCCACCTTTTTCATTTAAGTTCCTGACCAGAACTCTGGATCCTGGGAGCAACTCAGCACCATAAACTTTTTTGTCATAGAGGGCTTTACCTCTCGTTCCCTCTTTGTAGGCTGATTTTGAGGCCAGTTTGTAAGCTTCAGTCATTTTTATCCTCCACTTTCCAGCATATTCTTGATGTGATGAACTCTGCTCTTTTGTTTCCAGGCCAAACATGAGATCAATTGGCAATTTTGGGCTTCGACCAAACAATAAGAAATATGGCGCATACCCCGTAGCCTCGCTGCGCGTGCAGTTATATGAATGAACTACCTTAGCGAGAGAAGACTTCCAATCTGCTTTTGCTGCTTCAGGCAAGTTTCTGAGCATAGCCAGCAAAGTACGGTTAAACCGCTCCACCTGCCCATTTCCTTGGGGGTGGTAAGGTGTAGTCCGCGATCCCTGTACTCCACTATACTCCTGTAACTTTGCGAAGAGTTTATTTTGAAACTCTTTTCCCTGGTCATGGTGAAGACGAGTGGGAAAACCAAACTTGAGCGCAAAGTCCCCAAATATCTTCTCAGCAGCAGTATGGGCAGCCTTGTTGCGACAGGGGTAAGCCTGGGCAAAACGAGTGAAGTGGTCCATTATAACCAAAATGTACTCGAATCCTCCTTTGCATCTTTCTAAATGTAGAAAATCCACTGACACTAGTTCAAACGGGTATGTAGTGACAATATTTGTTAACGGAGCTCTGGTGGGTCTGTTGGGACGCTTATTCTTCAAACAACTGCACACTTTAGTGATGTAATGTTCAACGTCTCTTTGCATATGAGCCCAATAAAAGCGCTCCCTGATCAGATGCATGACCCTCTCTACCCCTAAATGGCCCATGTCCTCATGTAACTCTTTGTAAACCAGCTTTTGGAACTTTTGGGGCAAGAGCAGCTGGATGCGGGAGGCTGTTTTCCGATAAAGCAGTCCATCATCTCCTATTTGAAGTTTGTGTTTTTCTCTGACAAGGGCTGCGATTTTATTGTTTAGATGTTTTATACTTTTTGGCCATTGCTTTGACATCACATATCCCAAAACATCTCCAATAACTGAGTCTTCCTCTTGAGCTCTCTTCAAATCAGCCTTTGATAGTTCAGCCACTGAGCTCATTTCCAGATCTTCTGCACTAATAAGAGTGGAAATAGTAACTGGACAAAGCCAAGGCTCATTCACTTGTGACTTCACCTTGACTGCTTGAGCCACACATTGCCTAACTTCAGGCTGAACATCTTGCGTGCATTTGCTCATGTATTGCTCCATATCTAAGGGCATACGTGAGAGGCCGTCTGCATCACCATTTGCTTTTCCTGGCCGGTACTTAATGACAAACTGGAAATCCGCAAGCTCTGCCATCCACCTCTGTGTTGTTGCATTTAATTTTGCGGTGGTGAGCACATATGTAAGGGGATTATTGTCAGTATAGACAGTAAATGGGGGTGAATAGTATAGAAAATCCCGAAACCTCTCACATATGGCCCACTTCAGGGCAAGGAACTCCAGTTTCCCTGAATGAAGGTGATTGTTCTTCTCTGGATTTGTAAGCGTCCTGGAGCCATATGCTATGACTACCAGTTTCCCGTTTTGCCTCTGGTAAAGCACTGCCCCAAGTCCTTCTTGTGAAGCGTCACAATGCAAAATAAAGGGCTCCTCAAAGTTTGGGTAACCCAACATAGGGGGCTGGGATAAACAGTCAATGAGTTGGCTCAGCACTGTCTGATGCTCAAATGACCACTTGATTTTATGGGACGAAGGCAGTTGACCCACCCCATTTTGTTTCAGTTTACTTAGTTTCCTTGTGTTTGGTTTTTTTGTATCCGTTTCTTTATTTGCTAGGAGGTCGTACAGAGGCTTAGCTATGCGAGAGAAGTTTGGTATGTAGCTCCTATAATACGAGACAAAGCCTAATAACTTTCTTAACTCTCCTATAGTGGCAGGCTGGTTCTGTTTTAACGCCTGCACTGGGGCAATGTCCGCAGGATCCATAATATAGCCCTGTTCTGTGACCATCTTGCCGAGAAAACGTACCTGCTGCTTGAATAACTCACATTTTTGTGGAGTGAGTTTCACTCCGTGGCTCTGGTAACGATGAAGGACGTTTCTCAAGTCACGCAGGTGATCTTCAAATGTCTGTGAATGGACTAAATTATCATCGAGGTAAGGCAAGCAAATGTCATCTCTCAACCCCCACAAACACTCCATCGATCTTTGGAATACTGCCGGTGCTGAGGACAGACCAAATGGAATCCTTACCCACTCGAAGAGACCCCACGGTGTTATGAAAGCAGTGAGGGGACGGCTCGACTCTTCCACGAAACCCTGGTGATATGCCTTCCCTTGGTCGAGGACTGAAAACCACGCACTTCCTTTTAAACTGTTCAACATGTCCTGTATGCGGGGGATGGGGTGACGGTCGGGTATGGACTTTTTATTCAGCTCTCTGAAATCGCAACACAAGCGCAGACCACCGTCCTTTTTCCGCACACAAACAATGGGACTGGAGTATGATGACCTTGATTTAGTTATCCAACCCCTGTTCAATAAGTCCTCTAGGTATTCTTTCACCTCTTTGTGCAGCGGTCTAGGTACTGAGATGTAAGTCTTCTTGACGGGAGTGGGATCGTTCAATCTTATTTTTAATTGTAGAGAGGGAATTGTGCCTACATCATACCCATCACGCGCAAATGCATGTCTCTCCTCCCTCAAAAGCTGTCTAACTCTGCCCTGTTCTGCTGGGGGGAGGTGATCGAGGGGAACTTGGGGCTCCCAAATGTCAGTAGATGCATTAGCGGTATTGTCCACATCTCTACACTTCATGTTTTGATTGTCCATAACTGGATCCGTTACAACTTGACCTACAGTAGCTGGCTTCATATCTGCAGGATAAATTGTTTTGACCCTTTGTGTCTGTCCCAAAACTGTTTTAGCATGCACTTCGATGTCACGGCTACTACTGTTTGTGACAGGGATGATCAACATGGACCGACGCCCCTTCCTTAACAGTACTACCCCACTCTGCATCTGTAACCCATCCGGTAACTGAGTGTACTGATTTGCAGAGGTGGGACAAAGTCATTGTTTAGCAAGTCACAAGTCAGTCTCAATTCATTGCCCTCAAGTCCCGAGTCAAGTCACGAGTCAAGACAGGCAAGTCCCGAGTCGAGTCCAAGTCAAAGGCCAACAAATCTCAAGTCAGTCCCGAGTCCTACGGTTTGACTTTCGAGTCCTCTCGAGTCTTTTTGACCGCGATTTGTTTCTTGTTGGTCTCCACGTACTTTTGTAGGCAAACAAAATAATGTTAGGAATCATTTTGCTGATGCATTCTCGTTGGTCTCTGACCCATGGACTAACAGTTTGTTCCATGTCGTTGTCTGCTGATAAATCAAAAAACTATCTACGTGATCTAATTGGATGTTGTGCCAGATGCAGGCTCAGTTACACATGCACAGACCACACATAAAATCAGAGCAGTCCGTGTCAACATACTTTTTATCTTTGGGGTTTTTAATGGGAAGTAGCAAGTGCAGCATATATGAATATGAGTATTGGGCTAGGACCTGTATCTATATAATCAGTTTAATGTCCGTAGTGGTTATTGTTCCAAATGTCCTACTGTAGAATAGGGGTAGTATGAGGGGTCTAGGCTTTGGACCTGGGGCAGCTCGCCATCAACTGGACCAGCATTAGCAATATCTCATAATTACCAATATATCATTACATAATAAAATGTCTCATATAAATTAATTCAATCAGTCAAAGCACTGATTCTCATATCAATGCACCATAAACAATAGTGCAAATATTAATCTAGCTTAGTGCACATAATCAAAACAACTATCTAATGTATGCAAACTTTAGCAGGAGGAGCACAGCAAAAATATACTCATAATAATAGGCCTCTGCGCCCACACAGAAAAATATAAGAAAGAGCCAACAGAGCAGCGCAGGCTAGCGCTAGTTTGACTCACCAGTTCCTCTTTAAAACACGGCACAGAGTGTGACAACTGCGTCGATTCAATTGTATGAAGCTCACCGCACACCGAAACGCAGCGCCTCGCGGCGCGTCATTTGACGCGCGTTCATGACATGTGTCAAATTACACCGGAACGCCTTGGCTAGCGTCCTTTTCCAGCTGATCGCAGATGAAATGGGTGAGTGACGTTTGGAAGTTTCTACTAATATTTTGGGGGAGGAAACAAAGTATTTACGTGAAATTATGCTGGCAAATATTACAAGAAAAGACTATTTGGACCCATTTTTTAAACAGGCTAATAACTAGCTCTGGGTAACGCTGTACTTGGGTTATCAAGCTTTCCTCGTCCATTGTGACCGGTTTACTTGAGCAATAGCGCCGACAAGTGTGTAAATTTGAGACCGCGCTCACAGCTACGTGATAAGAAGCGCAGAAGAAGAAAACTACGGGTGCTTGGAGGGACAGTTTCAGCCGCGGCGCCGCGTCTGGATTCAACAAAACTGAATCGTGGCGCCCGGTCCAGCGTCGCCGCGCGTCACTGCAACCTTGGTGTGCGTTCTCTCATAGAAAATAAAGGAGGCGGCTCTTTTGCCGCGCGTCAAGGCGTTTCGGTGTGCGTTGGGCTTGAGGCGCCTGTAGTGAAAGCATATCAATTACGGTTTGTAGAACAAAGTATGACGTTAGGTCGCGATAAATACCTGCAGCTCGCTCATTTCCAGCTCCCCTACGACAACACACCCACCGGTGAATGCAGTCCGCTTGTTTAGAGAAGTGTTGCTGCGCGAACTGCGGGGAACTCACGTTCGAACTCTCTCGCGAGCGCTACAACTACCGCGAG